GAAAAGCGCGGTTTGCTAGACTAAGACTCGAGCCCGGATCTTTCCGCTTGCCGGACGACTGTTCTAAACCACTCAGCTACCTGACCCTCCACACTCACGACACTCTCCTCTCCCTAGATAACGCTCAGAGATGCCGTTCGGAAGCGACATCTCTGGCGCTATCCCGAGCGCACGGCGACTACAGAGAGAAACATTTGATCTGTTCTTTTCAGCTGCACCAGTTCAACAGTGCAGGTGGAAAAAATAGACCAATTGTTATTGTACCAAGTGGTACAGCTGTCAGTCTCTCAAATTAGTAATTCCGGAATCGTCGCGAGAGATATCTCTGGAGCGCTTTTGCCGGCCTTTAATTACGGGCCAACTCTGTCTCGTCTGTTTATATACTCGATTTCAATCGTTTTATGAATGAAAATTGCTTTTGTTATTCGAAATACACTATATACTTGCAAGAAATTTCATTCTAGCTAGTAACACGTCGCTAAACTTTATTCACTCACGCGAATATTAATATAAAATTTCGAAATACTCAACAATTTATTTGGCTATTGTTAAATCAGTTTTCCTATTTTTTAACTGTAATATTATTCCGATTATAATGAAACTCAGGGAAAAGTATTTGTGTTTTAAAAAGACCGATTCGCGATTTTGTATATATCCACTGTTCCTCTCAAGATAAATACTAAAAGAAGTATATGAGCAACATATCCTTGGAACTATATGGACCCAGTCTCCCTTGTCATTTGATCGTTGTGAAAGATGTCACGTAAAAAACGAAAAATACGAAGATATGTATTCATATCAAAGCTTTCCTGCGCTACGATTCTCGTTAGCATTAAAATTTTTCAATCAAAAAGCATGTATAAAACATGAAATGCTACTAGAGTATATCTGCTCATTTTACAAACTTAATTATTAATCAATTGAATAGTTTTTTGTTCATTCACTGATCTGCTGTCTTACAGTAAAGAGGTTCAGGTTCTGCGCATTTTTCGTATACAGTAACTGCGGGAAAAGACATCTTAATTGGGACATCAAGTAGTTTTTATTCTTCAGTTATTAGAGACGAAAGTTAATATAACTATCCAGGTACTGCACGAAAACTGCATTAAATTTTTATTAGGAATATGAAATGGAAAGATAATATATTAAGGCAGAGAATGGCAGAGTAACTCAGCTACGAAATTTTCTATAGCAATTTTTATAAAATCCTCTTCGTGATGACGTATCGCGAAAGTAAAGTCCAAAATTGTTATAGCTTCCTCGAGTAAACAAGTCCTCTCTCGGTTTCTCGCACAATTTGATCCCGATACGTATTACCGTCGTGAAATTATAAAAGTGCGATTTAAATTCTTATTTTGCGAAGAGAGACACGCTCTTTTTGCGCGCCCGACGCCCTTTTCTCTCACTGAAGGACGATGATAACGAGCTCCGATCAGGCGTCCTTTTAAATATCGAAGGTGAATCATGCGAAATAAAATATCGGAGGCGCGTTAATTACGCTCAATTGCGCGTGCAGCGAATTGACATTTTTCTCTCGTATTTTCCTCGCGTTGCTCAAAGCGCAAAGATAAGCTCGCATGCTAAATTAGTGACGAGCCACGAGCGGAGCTCGCGATGACTCGTGACATTTACATTCACGAATAATGCTCGCCTCGGATTTTCCATTTCGAGTCGTAGCCGTCGTCCTCGTCGTATGCGTTTCTACGTCGAGCGGCCGCTCGGAGACTCTTAAAGACGGCGGAAATGACATGTTTCGCAGAATAAGATCGCGCGAATCACGGTAAAATTATTCTCATTTCAGTGAAAGAGTGTATAGAGACATGAAAATTAACGGATCAAAGCTGAAAATTGCGCACTCGTGAATTTCTCTCGCTGGCAGCGATAATTAGGAAATGTTACCTTAAAAATTTCTGTGTTTCTGTCGTCTCTTACTTAAAAGGATAAATCGTACACGGAGAAAAGAGATTGGTTGAATTAACCCGAGCAGAAGTTTAACCTCATGGCTGCGTTCCAAAACTCTACTCTACTCGATAGAGTAGCATTTAATTGACCAATGAAAACAAAAAGAAATAAGATTTCTTTATGATGATTGGTTAATTAAATGTTACTCCACTCGCCGAGCAGTATTTTAGCACGTAGTCATGAGTGTTTAGCCACGAGATAATAAATTTCTATGTCTACAATCACTACCAGCCAATAAATTACTTTTCATAACGATCAGATAAATAGGTTTGCTGATAATCAGACAAAAAAAATTACTATGTGTTATGAGATAGAAAATCATAATTAATTGCCAAGCAATAAAGTAACATCCACTTGTTTTCTTCAGAATTTTATGAAATAACGTAATTTCAGTTTTTATTTGCTAATTAATTTTTACATGTTAATGATGACATGTTAATGATCTGCTTAATGTAATCAGATTATTTTAGAATAGCGCCATTTATACTCTATTATATATTTAATAGCAAGATCTATCTATTATATATATAATAGCAAGATAAGGGTGCAAAATCAATTCCGCATTTCATAAAATAATTAATCGTTAACAAGTTGAAAAATAATGAGCTAGAAAATTTAATCTAGCCTGTGTATTAGCTACCTATTAGCTTTTGGCTCAGGTCGGATAATTACATTTCTACTCGGGAACGTGAGAATGACACAACTGAGTGCGTTTTGGTTGAGGGAAATAGAATTTCCGGTTTTTAAGAGAAGTGGATTATATTAAATTATATTAAGTTATTATTAAATTATATTAAAATAATTATTATATAAAGATTAGAAAGTTTTCTATCCTACTGAAATTAAATTTGTAATGTCTAAGGACCGTATATGACTCATAAAAATTAGAAATTTGCTTCCTTTAATTAAAACACATTTAGTTGTTAATTTAAACGATCTTTTTTGCCCGTAGATCTGGTTTAATCCCATAACTTCCACATGTCCGCAATGATCGAAATATCAGGAACCCTTTACACGCGCACGGTGCGAATATATACAGGGTGTTCCCAAAAGGTGGTACCAAATTTTAGGGATATGTAGTACTCGTTAAAACAAACCTAAAACTCTTAATGAACAGTACTCCGAAAACTTTTTATTTCTGAATTATGAAGCATTTTGTTCTATGAAAAATAGAAAATAACTAAAATTTACAATAAATGTTCAATATGCCCTCCGTCCATTTCAACCGTCCATTTCACAATTCGGCACGTCTCCTCATTGAAGATCGAACACGTTCAAAGATTCCGGGTTTATTCCGTATTTATTGACAACAGTTTTCAATTCTCTGAGTCAATTCATCTATTGTATTAACTGGTGTGGCATATACCAGGCTCTTCAAGTGTCCCCATAGATAATAATACAACGGATTTAAATTCGGTGAACGAGGTGGCCATACAACTGGTATGGCTGCGTAATTAGGTGGTCACATATGGGCGTCCGTGAATGAACTGACTAAGAGACTTGGAAACTGTTGTCAACAAATACGAAATAAACCTGGACTCTTTGACTTTCAATGACAAAACATGCCGAAATGTGTATTGACATGAGCCGAAGGCACATTGAACGTTTATTGTAGATTTAATTTATTTTCTATTTTTCACAGAACAAAATGCTTCATAACTCAGAAATAAAAGGTTTTCGGAGTACTGTTCATTAAGAGTTTTTGGTTTGTTTTAACGAGTACTACATACCCCTAAAATTTGGTATCACTTTTTGGGAACACCCTGTATATATATATATATATATATATATATATATATATATATATATATATATATATATATATATATATATATATATA